TATCTATGTGACTCAACCTTGAGTGAAGAAAAAACTACAAAGCCAAAAAACTTCAAAACATAGATTTTCAAAATCATGCAATTTCCCATCTTGATTAAATTCAAGATAAATATTCTGTCGTATGACATCAGCGAGTCAGTAGTGGTGAATTTTATAGCTTTCAAAAGGAAGCATAACCATATTTGTATTATAAACTATGCATTTGAAAAGCCAGAAAGAGGAGTAAATCCATAAAAAAAGGGCCAGAACTTAGACCTGTTTCCACACTAATTAAAAATTAATATTGACCAGAAGAACAAAATGACTCTAGATAGCTAAAAGTTATCTGGATCTATCACATAAGAAGTAAAATACTGCTACTGATATCCTGCTCTTGACTTCACAGTTTGATAAATGAACCTTGAACTTGACAAAAATGCAGTATGGATAAAGCATATTTTGCACAAATTCCTTACCTCTAAAGGTAAACAAATGTGAATGAACTTTAGAATGTCAAAATCTAATAATGGATCTGACAGAGTCAGTGATAGAAGTACTAATTAACTGGCTAGGAATATATTGCGTATTTGAGCAAAATATCATCCACCGTGTGGATGAGCGGATTGCTGCTGGATATTTGTAATATGGCTGTGTGTCACTCACTATTGATGTCCTGCATCATCTGGACGAGTGAATTTCTGCTGGTCACTTGTAATTTCGCCATGTTACATACTATTAATATCCTACATAATCTGGATGAGCATATACTGCTGGTTACTTGCATGTACTAGTACATCGTGCCAAAATAATTGGACTGGTGATAGCATCATGCCAAGATGATTGGAGACATGACTGGTTACATTCTCAGGTTTTGCTTTAACTGTTACTTTGCGAGTCTTACATTTCCGTGGTGGGGTGGGGACTGGGGGATATGGATGAAGAACATTAAAAGTTTTATTTGTGATAGGATCAACTATTGTGTATCTTATTGAAGTCATGCATCAAAAAATTGTTATCGTCCTTATGTTATTGGGAAGTTAATTTATTTCTTTCCTCTCACTCTTCTTTACTTTCAATGCTTCTAGTTGGGAAACAATCCTAGTACTTTAAGTGCGTCTTTTTCTGATAAGCAGGAGACACCAGCTATCCTGGTTGAGTCAATTGAGGAAGCAAGCACCACTGAGATCTTGAATGTTTCAGAAATCCATGACCTTGATGATGGAGTTCCTATTATCAGCTCCCCACGTACTCCCAACTCTATTTCCAATCTGCATGAGGTTGTTGAGGCCCCAAGAGGTGCTAGTCTATCAGGTCTAAAGAACATGATCCTCGAGGAAAATGATAACCAGATCAAAGTCTTGGAAAACTATGTATTGCCACCAGAAGCAGCTGATTTTCAGCATGATGAGCTATATATAGTTGAAGAAACAGATGGTATTGAGGACATTGATGAGGCATTTCTCTATGAATTAGATACAGTTGGTGACTTTAGCATCAATGAGCTGGGATCAAGCCAGAATGAGTTCGAGAGACGAATCGACTCCACTGGAGAGGGTTTGTCTGCATTCCACACTGTTGATTCTGGCACTCCAGAAGTTGCTGAAGAGGCCTGTGCTGAAGGTCATGAAAGAAAGTTTCCGTTGCACCCTGATATTTTAAACGCATCCACATTTGAAGAGATTGATAAGCATGAAGAAAAGGAGTGTGCTTCAGAAATTCAAAAATCTGGAATGAGCATTATTGATCATCTTGATGCATCTCATACAAAATTTGCTGAAGGAGAAGTTCATAATGCTGTTGATGCTAGATCAATTGAAGGAGGACTCCCTGCGGATAGTGATATTGGGCCTTCAGATCCCATGAAAAAACTTAATTTGGATGCTCAAGAGATAGTTCCGGAAATGACTATAGCTGAAGCTCAAAACTCTGTCTTTGAGGTGGCAAATGCAGAATCTGCTCAAACTGGAGTGACTGAAGTGCCTCAAGAAGTTATAGTCAAAGAGGAAACTGATTCTGGTATGCCAGTACTAGAAGCACAAACAATTCAAGATATTGAGTCAGCGTTTTGGCAAGTTTATGAGAAAGAAATGGAGAAATCTAATGTTTTTGAGCTATATAATGCTGAAGATTCTGGAATGCCAGTGCTGGAAGCACAAACTGTTGAAGATATTGAGTTAGCATTTAGAGGTACTTCTGAGAAGGAAACATTGAACTCGAATGTGTATGAGCTACCTAATGCTAAACTAGTAACTGAAGAATCTGGGAGTTCTGACAATTCAGCGGTGTTTGAAGTGTCAAGTTCAGTACTGAACGATTCTGGAATGCCAGAAGTGGAAGCACGCACAATTGAAGATATTGAGTCAGCATTTGGAATTAGTTCTGAGAAAGAAAAAGAGCATTTGAATGTGGTTGAGCTTCCTAATGCTAAGCTTGTAACTGAAGAATCTAGAGATTCTGACGATGCTGCGGTGTTTGAAGTGTCAAGTTCGGTGAAGGAAGATTCTGAAATGCCAGTGGTGGAAGCACAAACAATTGAAGACATTGAATCAGCATTTAGAATTAGTTCTGAGAAAGAAATAGTGCATTCGAATGTGCTTGAGCTGCCTAATGCTAAGCTTGTAACTGAAAAATCTGTTAATTCTGACGATGAAGTGGTGTTTGATGTGTCAAGTTCAGTACAGGAAGATTCTGGAATGCCAGTTTTGGAAGCACAAACAGCTGAAGATATTAACTTGACATTTAGGCAAATAGGTGAGAAATCAAATGTTCTTGAGCAACCTTTTGCTGAGCTAGCAACTGAAGAATCTGGGGATTTTGATGATGCAGTGAAGTTTGATGTGTCAAGTTCAGTACAGGAAGATTCTGGAATGCCAGTACTGGAAGCACAAACAGCTGAAGACATCACTTTAGCATTTAGGCAAATATCTGAGCAAGAAATTGAGAAATCGAATGTTCTTGAGCAACCTAATGCTAAGCTTGAAACTGAAGAATCTGGAGATTCTGACAATGCAGCAGTGTTTGATGTGTCAAGTAGAGTACATGAAGATTCAGGAATGCCAGTACTGGAAGCACAAACAGTTGAAGATATTAACTTATCATTTAGGCAAATATCTGAGCAAGAAATAGCTGAGAAATCGAATGTTCTTGAGCAATCTAATGCTGAGCTAACAACTGAAGAATCTGGGAATTCTGTCAATGCAGCGGTGTTTGAAGTGTCAGGTTCAGTGCTGGAAGATCCTCAAATGCCAGTAGTGGAAGAACAAACTGCTGAAGATATTAACCTAGCATTTAGGCAAATATCTGAGCAAGAAATAGATGAGAAATCAAATGTTCTTGAGCAACCTAATGCTGAGCTAGCAACCGAAGAATCTGCAGCTGAAGTGTCAAGTTCAGCGCTGGAAGATTCTGAAATGCCAGTGCCAGATGCAGAAACATTTGAAGATATTGACATGATATTTAGGAGAATATCTGAGAAAGAAATGAAGAAATCTAATGTTCTTGAGCAACCTAATGCTGAGCTAGCAACTGAAGTATCTGGGAGTTCTGACAACACAGTGGTGCTAGAAGCGTCAAGCGTGACACGCAATATGCAATTACCAATTCTTGAAACAAGACCAACTGAATATTTTGATTTGGATCATGAAAAACTTTCTGAGAGTGATGATGAGACACTCATCCGTCGTGATTCTGTTGGTGGTGATGAGCATCCTGGGGAATCCGAAGACGTAGGAGCTTCTTCAGATTCACAAAACATCGAAACAGACTTGGCTTTGAAACAAGTCTTGGAAGGAAATCTGGAGAAACCCCTGAACTCCACTTCTGAACGTGAGTCAGCAGAAGCGAAGCCAATTGAAGCAGGCTCATCCAATGATATGGAATCAAGTGTTAGAGGATCTGATTTTCCTGATTTTGGTGAAGTTGAAACTGAAAAAGGTGATCATGAAGTTGTCCTAAAAGAAGCAAAGACATCAACAGCTGAAAAACCAGATTATGCTGTTGATATGCCTGCTACATCTGATGTTAAAGGCAAGAAGGACTAATCCCACGAGAAGGGATCAAGTTCAAGCGACTCCGACAAAGAATGAAGATGCTCAGGATGATTGACTGACAAAAAGGAGTTGAAGGTGGTTTACAGTTTTGTGTTTATTGCATTAGTAGTTTGGGTTATTGCATGGTTTGGAGTGGCTTGTGAAATGATGGACTTCTTCAAGAATGAGTTTTGGTTTGATTTCTTGAAGCATTCTTTTCTTCTCATAATTTTTTTCATCTTTTCAGCAGTTTTTGGAGATTGTTGGAAGAAAAGGTTTTGTTAAACTTGTATATGGAGTTTGTAATTTTTTTGTATGAAGCAGTTTATGTTGGACTGCTACCCTGAAAGTAATGGCAAGCAAGACTCATTGCCTTTCTTTTTGTTGTTTTCTTCACTTCTTTAGTTCTTTTAACTCGTTTGGTTTGCAGACAAAATTATACAGGGAAGTTAACATAAAGATTAATAATCATTGCATTATTTAGTGCATATACTTTAGTGGCGGATATTTGGTTCACCACATTAAAAATGAGATATACCATGTATAATCTTTCCTTAATTTTGTTTTATGCGATACGTTTTCTCTTTTAGTTTGTTCCAAAAAGATTGATACGTTTCTCTTCATTAAAATTATTTATTTGATATGTTTCTCTTCACTGAAATTATTTAATCCTAGCTTTCATTTTACACTTAATTGACATGACTTGTTGGAAATTGGGACTCACTTGATATAAAAATTCATTTTTTATGAGTACGAAAAAACTAGTGGAACTTTTACCATCACTCTTTTAAAAGAGTACTTTTGATAACTGTTCATGTAAAAATAATTGACTTATATGTTAAAAAGTCATCTTTCATTTTTTTAAATTTGTGTTCTATCATACACCTTCTGTTAAAAGTATAATATTTGCATAAATTCAATTTGCATATCCATCAATCAAAATCTCTGTTACCATTCATATTTATAGCAGTGTAACAGAAGTAAAAATAGGCATTTCTAATCCCACTGAACCATTTCACTAGACATTGAAATATGAAATACATCAACAGTTGGTAGCGGTATAGAGATTGTTTTACACACATTCCTTAACTTAGTAATAACCTACATACACCAGACCTTTGCTTAGAGTTACAACTTTGGACACACTGTAAGTACAACAATAACCAAGGTTCAGGGGAGGGGAATTTGTTAAACTTCCACAAAAGTGGTGCTTCTTCTGAAGCTATTCGTCAAGCCTCTAAGAGCAGTTGGTGTCGTAGGTAGCGAGTCCCAACAACTCCGGACCTTCAAGTCGAGGATTGTGCTCGAAACTGCAAATTAGAAGTTCAGGAAACTCATTAGAAACATCCAACTAGGATACTGTATCTATTTAAAGGAATCAGTAGGAGATGACAGCAGAGTTGGGAAATCAAGAAGAATGACATGGTATAAGACTATACATAGCACAAGCCCCCGGGACTTAGTTCAAGTGGCAAAGGTTGATGAACTTGTGTCAAAAACTCAATCTCTGCACCATGCAAACTAAACCTGGTACTTAAGTGGAGAATGGTAAAGAGGCGGTTGGTCCTAATAGTTAGCCCCAGATGAATTTCTTGGTCATAGTGCAAAAGCTAAGCAGGTAAGACCCACATATGACACATGGATACCACCAGGAACACGAAGTCTCTTTGACTATATTCGAAAGCACAGTTGCTTTCTGAGACGTATACTGGATGTATTTATCTGCTTGTCTAGCTTTATTTTTATATATTCTACTTCTTTTTTTTACTTAACACACATCCTTTCCCAAATAACAACAAAATCTAATATAAATACATGTCGAAACAAGGGAATTAAGGAGCTAAAGGAATAAACAAAAAGTGAAAAGGTAACCATGACGCATCTCAATTGATTTGTGTTGCACATATCCAGAGGAACAAAATAAAAATACAGTTGGGCTTCCTTTCGGTTTGAAGTAAATGGAGTCAACGGTATCTCGTGTATAGCTTGAATTAATACCACCCACAATTCTAATTGAAATAACTGGAAATCTAGAACTCATTGTTGTTAGTATATCACTCTCTTTAAGGTGTTATTCAAGGCTTCTCGACTAATCAATGAACTGTAGTCTGAAATAAAAGGTCACATATCCAAATCCTTTCCAAATAGTTGTCTTATTTCAAAGCAAAAATTAAAAGTCATTGCAGAAATTCGAATCTTCTCCAAATAAGTTTCTTCTTTCAAAACAAAGTTAGAAGTCAGTGCTTCCAGTATAATTTGCCTACTATGAAGCCCAAATTTAACTTAGATAAAGGCAAATCAAGAAAATAGGTTTTTTAAAAAAAGGAATACCTCTTTTGATTGGTAGTCTTTTTTTAAAGGTGAACTTGATAGAATAAAGCATACAGAGACATGATTACTCTTTGCACCATTGCTCAATACTCCTACAGTTCAACTCTGACAACAATACTTGTAGGATATACAAGGAAATCTTACTTGTTCAGAGGAATATGCTCAAATGGACCAGAAGTGGGAATTGTTCCACACAAATCATTATTCGAGACATCCCTGGAAGAAAGAGTGCAGAATTTAATATCTATTTCGCAGAAGAATTAACGATAATAACACAAGCAAAGAAATTATACTTACACAACTTTCAGGCTAGAAACGCTAGTAAGTTCTCTTGGGATTGGTCCTGTTAGCTTGTTATCATTTAGACGCCTGATAGATCAGATAAGAAACTTTCAATCAACATAAGAGGAATGTGCTATACCCCATTCACTACAAGCAAGTGATACTGAATATTAAGGTCAAAGAAGAAAAGGGAACTCTGTGAGTAGTGCAAGTAACAAAATATTTGCTTTCTTTTTCTTCCCCCTCTTATGTAAAACGTACACATGACTGGAACCAAATTGGGAAACATCACAAAGGAGAACTTACAAGAAAACAAGGTTTTTCAGCTTTCCAAGTGAAGTAGGAATTGTCCCCGAAATATTGTTGTTGTACAGATCCAGACTAATAAGGCTCTTCAAGTTACCAAGCTCTTTAGGGATGGTTCCCTGAATATTATTTTTGTAAAGCTCCCTGAAGCAACAAATAATTACCTCATAAATATGACTCCTCATAAACAAATAGAGTTATTGACTAGAAATGGAAAGTCTATTCAAGATTTCAAATAATTACTCACAGATACTGTAGATGATCAAGCTTTCCAAGCTCAGGTACCAAATGGCCAGATAACTTTGAGTTGCCAAGGTCCCTGGAGAAACATTAAAACCCAGAGATATTTCAGACTTGTCATTATTACGATGAAAAAATAAAGCAAACTACAGCTGTGTTCCTTTTCTGAGTTGCACCACTTTTTGGGAGAATTCATCGGGGGGCAGTTTATCTATAAATCAGTAGAGAATAAGTTCATATGAGGAAACATGAAATTTATTCTTAGGTGAAACAAGTTCGTTTCAGAAAAGCATGTTTGTTGGTTATAGTTACTGTTCCTTTCAGGATAGATGCAAGTATATAACAATTTCCGGTTTGGAAATTGATGTGATTCTTCGTACACGTGGAATGTCCGGCCAAGTACCTCATGTTTTTAAATATGTGAAAGACATCACAGTAGCGAAGATGTAGCAAGGAGTGTTGTCAAAGGTGCGCTTAAGCCCTGAAGTGAAACTCAAAAGGTGTTGAGCGCTTCGCCTCTCTTAATGTATGGTTCAGTGTCATCATCAAGGTTATAAGGCATACTTTTCCTTGTCAATGAGCCTCTTCTAAAGAGGTGATACTAAACAAATGATATTTATCGTAATTCTTTTTCGATTTCTTTGTTCATAGATTTTTCATTCATGCTTATAATTATTAGTCTTAGCCTGAACATACATATTTCTAAAAAAAAATTCTCCCTTCGCGCCTTTTTTCATTAATGTCCACACTTTATTTGCATTTTGCACTTAAACCCCCAACAGATCATAGAGCTTTTTTTTTTTTTGCTTTTGGTAACACTAATAGCAAGATTTCTTGCATTTCAATAAATTAGTTTGTGACTCATTCAAATTTCACAAATCATCTGTTATGTATCAACTATCAATCAATCAACATAAAAATCCACCCAGTAACATCAGTCATCAGGTGTTCCAAGCTCACATAAGATACAGGAAAAGGAACTCTAAGACACACAAACTGTCACAAACATCCAAATTTTTGCCAGTAAAATGATAATTTGATTTTATAAAAAAAAAAAAAAAAAAAAAACATTAGCAATTGACCATGCTTGCTCCAACATTTCAAAAGAAAAACAGTAAAGCCGTACACAAACATTGTCACCACCAACTAATTTTGACATACAAGACTTTGGTGCTTTGCCACGCTTTAAAACGGACATAAAGGTGCAGCCACGTGAGATCAGAAACATAACAAGGACAAAGATCATTAATGAATCACACGTCTCCATATTTAGCACATAGATCATCGATACACATCACGACAGGAACTTCGAGTAAGTTAAACAAAAGTAATACAGACTCAAAGGTGCAACCACGTGAGATCAGAAACATAACAAGGACAAAGATCATTAATGAATCACACGTCTCTATCTTTAGCACATAGATCATCGATACACATCACGACAGGAACTTCGAGTAAGTTAAACAAAAGTAATGCACACACCCTCTTCATCTTGGGTCACCACCAACTAATTTTAAAGTACAAGGCTTTGCCACGCTTTAAAACAGACAAAATCTCCTAAAAGTTTATAAAAGATGCAACCACGTGCGATCAGAAACATCAACGACAAAGATCATTAATGAATCACACTTCTCCATCTTTAGCACATAGATCACCGTCTCATCGATACACATCACGTCAAGAACTTCGGATAAGTTAAACAAAAGTAATACAGACACAAAGGGTGAAACCACGTGCGATCAAAACCATAACAGCAACAAAGATCATTAATGAACCACATGCCTCCATCTTTAGCACATAGATCATCGGTACACATCACGACAGGAACTTTGAGTAAGTCAAACAAAAGTAATACAGACATGCTCTTCACCCTGGAAACAGGAATCACTTTGCTACTAATCTCCAAGCAAAATCTTGTAAGCAAGCAAGTCAAGTGAGAGCTTAACTTTTTACCATCTCTATAAGCCCAGAATAAATGTCAACACAACTAACCAACAACAACAACAAATGGCTATATGAATCCTCTAGCTAAATTCTTCTCTACTTATACCCATTTACTTCAACTACTCAGCAATTTTTCTTTTTTCCTGTCATAAAAATCCAGCCTCACATAGCAGATTCAATCAAATCCACCGCTTTAGGTTTTGACCATATATATACCTGTGAGTAACACATACATAACAGAAACACAAACACAAACATACAAATCGACCAATTTCCGATAGCTATCAGCACACCCAAACAAGTATTTAACTCAAAAAACACAAAAAGAAGGAAACTTTGAAGACTTACACACGAGTAACTTGATTATCTCCGTTGCAAGTGACATGAAACCAGGTACAAGGGTTAACAAGATTCGGATCCCAGCTCTGAAGCACGTTACCCGGGTCGGATAAGCTCCGGCGGAGGGCGTACAAAGCATCCCCTTCTGAATTCCCCTTCACAGCCACAGCTACAGCAAGAACAGCTGCCAACAAACCCCATAACTTCAAGAACGAACTCTGGGTTTTGAACACAGCTTCCATGGTTAATAATTCTCAGAAAGCAAAGAAAATTTATGGGTTTTGCTTAGAATTTGATGGAGAATTTTCTAGGGATTTTTTTGGAGAAGAAGAAGGAAGAAATGAAGAGGAAAGTAGGAGTAAAAAGGTTGGATTTTGGGAATGACAACAGGTGGTGAGTGTTTTAGGGAATCTTTTCTACTTTCCACTTAACCTTTGTGTATTTATTACTAGTAAAACTTGCTCTATATTCCTCTACTATACTTTTTTTCACTCAAATTGTATGATGTGTTGGATTGGCATGAATATATTATAAAGTTTTTTTATTTAATATCATAATAACATATTTGATGTAATTTCATATGCAGGGTGTGAATCGAGTAGAGTGTATGTTTGGTGGTAGTATTTGGACCTTCGTTATTGCTAGGGGTATTAATGTTATTGTGTGTTTCAGATGTTACTTTTGTTTCTCTGTATGTTGTGTAGTGTCGATCTTCATTTCATATTATTTTGTTGTTTTTGTTGTTCTTGTTATTGGATTTCTCTTTTCAAACTACTTGGAAATGTTTTATTTTACGTTGAGTGATTGTTAGCTCCAGAAAATCGTTTGTCACATTGGGAGTTGGTCATGTTCGAAGTTGTTACCAACGCTCATCTATCAATTTATCTTCTACCCTAATTTGCAACCTTCAAATTCTAATATCTAAGGTCATGTTCTCGATAAGCTCAAGATGTGTTCATGTCTTGTCTAATCACCCCTCCCCCTAGATACTTGTTTGGTTTGCCTCTATCTTTTGTGATGTTTGATATTGTCAACATCTCATTCCTGTTCACTGAGGTATCTACACTTCTCATGTACACATTCTTAAATTTATCTCAATCTCGCTTTCCTTATCTTGTCCATCACGAGAATCACTCATACCTTGTCATAATATGCTCAATTGCTCACACATTCACCTCAACATCTTCATCTTCATAATTTTCATATTTTGAACACGCAAGTTCTTCATTATCTAACATTATGTCTCATACAACATAGATGATTGAACTATTACTCTACAAAACTTACCTTTAAGTTTCTTATTAATAATAAAATTTAAAATTAATAAATTTAAGAGTTTAAGTTAAATTGATTCTAATGCTTTCCTCCCTAAATCTTTCAACTTTTTTTTTGTTCTCGTAATAAATACACAGTCCAATACAATTCATATTCCAAACAGTAATTAACAATTTTAACTTTAGAATAACTTTTTTCAATTTCAACCAAATTATTCAAACGTATATAAAACGATTCGATCACATTTTTTGTGCTTACAAGAACAAAACAAAAAAGGTTCCCTAAGCACTACGTTATACTACTGTTTTTTATTTGAAAAAGCATTAGTTAGTGTTTTGGCTTTTCTTTGATTAATTAGTGATTTAGGAAGACCAATTCATGTTGGATTCTTTTTTTTTTTCCAAGTCAACTTTGATATTATAATATATATTTATGGTTCTTTCTAAATTGATGGTCCCATTTTCTTTAACGTGTGTTTTACTAACATAATTTTAGTGGACGTTTGGATATAAAAATCGGGAATTTGAAAATTATAGTTATATTTGGACATGAATATAAATTAGAATTATTTTAAATTTTTTGTGAATTAACTTGAAAATTATGAAAATAACTTTTTGAAATTTTTCGAGATAAAAAAAATGGAAGAAAAAGTGTATTTCATGTGGCCAAACAATCATATGTTTTTTTGGTCCAAATTGGAGGCCAACCCACAAGACCTAAGGGTCAACAAAGCATGTACCAAGTTTCCATCATTAATGCCCATGGACTTGAATTTTGTTAGTTGGTAGTTCCCTTCATGGAGTTATTTCCTTAAAAATTAATTAATTGATATTTGAAACTTGTGATAGGATAAGATTTGCGTATATTTATCCTTCACAAAATCTATTTTGTGAAATTACATCGAGTATATTATTGTTGTTATCGAAACTTATTGATTCTACTAGTTGAATAGTATATAAACAGAAAATGCTCTTTAATAGAGGTTTTTCATTCCTAAATTCAAATCTGAGGCGCCAGTTAAAGTGAAGGGATGTCCCATAACATCACACCCTTTAATACTCCCTCTGTCCCTAATTAATTCTGCATTTTTCAAAATAATTAGTCATTTAATTGAGGGTATAATAAATTAATAATAGGTAAAAAAAAATTGTCTTTTCTTGATTTGTCAAAATAGACAAGTAATTAGGGACAGAGGGAGTAGTGTTTTAAAAGTGACTTTATTTGAGTAATCAACTGATATATGAAATTTACTAGTCCAACTAATCGAGGTTTGCATCACATAGAGTCCGCAAAGGAAAAGTTTCTTTTATCAACTATCAAAGTTTTATATATTTTGAGTTTTAATCTGAAATCCCTATTAAGAGAGGAGAATCTCATTCATCCTACCATTTTACCTCTCCCAGCTTGCCTAAATCGATTATTATTTTTATTTTATATTTAATACGAGTTGGAGATTATATTAATTATATAAATGCATAATTATTATAACATTAATTCTACTAGTAACACTACACCTAACAGTCACAACTCTCTACTGACTATGAATATGCAGTCGTAATGACCAACAATTTTTTTAAATAGGTAGACTGATCCACCCCATGCATAGTTGAATCTAACAAAAAAATGAGAAAATGTACGAAAAACACGTTTTTGTATTATACCTAAAAATAAATACAAAAGGTGAGACGACTCGGTTAACACTTAACAGAGAGCAGATGTAAGATAAATTGACTACTGACTAAAAAAAATGAAACAAGAATAGCTTCCCAACAAATTCACGTTAAAACGTGTTTCACAAACGACCATTGGACTCTATTAATGGATATTGTCGATTGAAACTGGTCTAATTAAATTACCATTTGCACTTTATATTTTTGGATTTTATTTTACCAAATAGAAAGTGCTTCATCACTTCTACGAAACATGCTGACTCTCATATTATCAGTTTTGACACTTTCATCCAAACATGTAACGACTTGTTTACAAAATTAGGTTCAACACCTGAAGGTGTAGAGTACTTTTTACTTAGCTAACACAATGTTTGGCTCTTGTTACACTGCCAGGATTAAGATCCAAATCAAGGTTAACACAAAAGTAAAATCTCGAGTCCACGACGAAAAACAGAAGTCGGAAATATAGCTAGAGTGAGAAAAAGATAAGACTATGAAAGAGAACAATGGAAGGAAGAGACGTCATCTTCCATCGATTTCTGTCTTTTATCAATAGCATTGGGAAGCAAGGGGATTGGAATTCAACCTTTAGGCTCTTCTGTCTGCATAATCACTGGAGTCATTGTGATCTCTGTAATTTTCACCGGCGTCAACTGGGCTATTAACATCACAAGCTTCTGCTTGGTTGCTGGTAGCATCGTTGCCGAAGCTGAAGCTGTTGCTAGCTGCATCAGTGCTTCCACTGGCATAGTTATCACCACTTGTGCCAAAGCCAGAACTGTTTTCTCCACTTCCATAACTGCTGGCAACATTAGTATCAACACCACCTGCACTGCCATAATTGCCACTGCTACCATAACCAGAGGCACCATAATTACCACCACCAGACCCATAATTGCCACCACCACCACTGTAACCACCAGACCCATAATTGCCGCCACCACCTCCATAGTTACCACCACCGTAACCACCACCACCACCGCCGCCGCCGCCATATCCTCTTGTCCTGTCATTCGCTACATTTACTCTAATCGTACGACCATCAAGCTCCTGAAAGATGCATTAAAACTAGTTGTCATAATCTAACCAGCAAACAGAAATGCATGGGATGCATACAGGCGCATCCCCCCGAACAGACCTATCATTTGCATATTTAAACACAATTTCTGGGTAAAAACAGTGCCAGATACCATAAAAGAACATTCCTTTGAAGTTAATTCACATCATGTGAACCCAAATACAAAGGGAACACACGCTTTTTCAGTCATGGAGCAACAGAGTGAAGAGATACCTGTCCGTCCAAAGCCTGGATGGCAGCACTGGCATCCTCAGAAGTATTGAAAGTAACGAAGCCAAATCCTCTAGATCTCCCAGACTCGCGATCATAAATGATTCTTGCTGCAATGAATTGGAACTTTTTCAGTAATTCCAGCTAGAAACTAGTGTCTGGACACATGCCTTTGTATACAGATGTGTCATATGTTCACACAGCTAAATATGAATGAGCAAGCATTCACGGAATTATAATACAGCTTCAAACAGTAAAAAATGGTGAAGTAATTCTTCCATTAGTCTAAGTTACTTCACTTACTAAATCCAACCAGTAATACAACTACTTTTGATAAGTCCAATCAGCAACACAATTGTCACTCCATCACTGAGACCCTCATTTGGACATAAAATGAGTGTCTTTCATCCTAACATAACATCTGGAAATTCATGTTGAGAAACATCAACTAACAAGTACTCCCTACATTGTCATATACTTTTCCTGACCATTACTCAAACTCTGCCCAGACACTCTTTATTATGTGCAAATATGATCACAATAATAACAAAAACATGCACTAGTGTGTGAGCGAATGTGATCATGAGAAAGTACACCAGCAGTGCAAGGATTCTAAATGAAAAATTGTAAACTTTAAACAAGCACGAGAGAGGACTTCTAGTCAAAAACAACATTTAGCTTTAAATTAGACAAACCTTCAACGACTTCTCCATACTTGCTGAAAGCTTCTTGGAGAGAGTTGTCATTAGTGTTCCATGAGATTCCTACATTGCCAAACTAGAGGACGTCAGCAGAAATTAGAAGAAATGTTATGAATACTGTTCTAGCATAAGAGAAACTGCATGCACCTCCAACAAAAAGTTTTGAAGACATGCATCTAATTAGTTGAAAAATTGAAGGCTTGGATGCAGATATTTCATGATTGATGTGCTGCTTGCTAACAGCCTGCCGAAGAATGCTCCCAGCTTTGTTAAAGAAAGCCATTCCTGAAAAGGAGAAGAACATCACGTACCAGTGAATTAATGAAAGAAGGTAAAAATGTGAATACAATGATTAAGATTTTGATCAAGGAGCATGGTGTTTATCAACTTACACTTTAAGACTAAATTTTGAATGTTGCACAACTACTAAGCTACATAAGAACTTGTTTCGATATAATAGTCAACTACCTCTAGTTTAAGAGGTGGTGGGAAGCAAAACAACTGACAATTCCAAGTAAACTTTAGTTCTCTTCGAGACTGGTCAAGTTCATTCTCAAATGAGCGGAGAGAACAAGGAGACGGGTGGAAAACAATTTCAGCAGCAATTTTTAGTGCCAAAGGTAGCATTAAGATTATACAGTTTCACAAACCACTGTTTTTAACATAGTTACATTCTGCAAGTTAATTTATGCAAATGAAAAGAGTACAAAACACCAAGACAAAAGTAAAATATGAATGGGCTAATTTTTCCTTGTTTAGTAATTAAGGGTTGTAAGACCCTAATGATAATTAATCCAGGTTATACACTACTTATCAAGAATAATACTCCAAGCTCTGGCACCCAAGGACATCGCATGTGGTCAATAAAGAGAATTGAGAACCATGAGATTCCACGTTCAAATCAAAGAGACGGCAAAACTACTAGGTCACCGTGGAATTAGCAGGTAATTGCAGGATCCGTAGAAGGGTGCCCAAGCAAACCTAGACACCATGGTTATATATATTCCACGTTCTACACTAGGGATGATAATTACTCCAGGTTCTACACTACTTATCAGGATTAATACTCAAAGTTCTGGCATCCAAGGGTGTGACATGTGGTCAAAAGCTAAATGAGAACCATGAAACTTCACGTTCAAATCAAAGAGGAGGCCAACACACTAGGTCACCATGGAATTACCAGCTTATTGTGGGATTAGTATACGTGTGTTGTGTGCAAGCTACAACCTACCCTAGACACCACGGTTACATATATTCCACATTCTACACTATATCATCATGTACATCTTCTTCCATAAACCAGATTACTAACACTCAAAAATATAATTATACAACCAACAAAATTTCTAAAACCATTATTACATGAAAGTCAACACTAAGGTATACCAGCTCGTAAAAAAATCTGCGTAAGCAAAATAAACTAGTAAAAATCACATCGAACATACAAATAGCTTGTGTATCTTTCCTCAATCATACAGAATAGATATAATCATAGCAAACAAATCAATAGTTCCTATTTTTAACACTAAAAAATCAGTGGAAATGAGATTAGGGTTTCTTACAAAAGCGAAAAGTATAATAAATCATGTAAAAATACACAGCAAGAGATAAATAAGAGAACGAACCTACAAGTTTAAGCTCAGTTTCGCCGGAAAAAGAAACGGAGACGGAGAAACGCTGTGTATTTTCAGCTTTCTACTTTTGGCCGGAGAAGACTGCCGTAATTTTGAAAGTAGGGCGGAAATGATCCTTAAATAGGGCGGTTAGTATATGGGCTCAGTGTGACCCGCTAGATAGGAATTTGGGCCTGTAGGTTTAAAATCTGGATGGACTATTATATCCTATCAGGCCCAAAATGTTTTTTTTTTCTTTTCGAGAAGTTACACATTTAGCCGATTAGTCAAAATTATATTCCTATTCGCTAACTAGGGAAAAAGGACAAATATACCCCCCAAACTATCGTAAATGGTATTCAGATACCCTTCGTCATACTTTTGGGACATTGGTGCCCCTACCGTCCAAAAACTAGAGCATATAAACCCTTTATACTAACAGACATATACATGTCATAATCTTATCCACCGATCCGATATTTATTAAATATCGAATGAACGGATAATATTATGTCACGTGTCCCTATTTAGTCTTCCGTTAGAGTGAATGACATATATGCTCTAGTTTTTAGACGGTAAGGGCACCAATGTCTCAAAAATATAACGAAGGGTATCTACATACCATTTATGATAGTTCGGGGGTATATTAGTCTTTTTTCCCCACTAACTAATATATATATAGTTATGTGTATTTTATACAACTCTAGCTATTTTTTTGGGAGGGTGGCTATTTACAGGGATAGAAATACCTAATAGTTTTTGTTATATCAAAGGTTACCCTTGCTTATTAGTAATCGAGTGATTATGAGGTAACCATTTTTTCTTAAATAATTTAGAATGTTAAATCTAAACCACATAAATACTCAGTAAAAAATAAAAGAAAAAACTACAGAATATGGCAAACATCAATATATATTTAAAACAAATAGTTATAGTTTTTTTTTATGTTATATGGATATAACTACACAATAAATAGCAAAGTTAATTATATACAAATAATTAGGAAAGTTATTAAATAGGAAAATTATTATCACAAGGATAATTTATTATGTCTAGGCACATTTTATGTGATCAGTTTTTCATTTTATCCTCATTAATACTTTCTCCTTCATCAATATTCCTATATCACATATTCTCAATATTTTCCTCCCATATTCCTTCCGATTTAAGATCTTTTTGATGATTCTAGGAGCAATTTTTGTGATTTGAATTTATCAAGTATCTTTTAATTGGTTTTTTCTCTCTTTTTTATGAAGATTATATTTGTATCCATCTATATTTTCATCTATTTTTATAGGGGTTCGATTGAAGAATTATTTTATTTTCTCCATTGCAATGGTTATAGTTATAAAAAAAAAAGTAGTAAAGGAAGAACATGAGCAAAAAGAGATTGAGGTTTGTGTGATTGTGATTTGAATTCATCAAGTATCTTTTAATTGATTTTTTCTCTTTTTTTATGAAGATTATATTTATATCCATCTATATTTTCATCTATTTTTATAGGGGTTCGATTGAAGAATTGTTTTGTTTTCTCCATTACAATGGTTATAGTTATACAAAAAAGGTAGTAAAGGAAGAACATGAGCAAAAAGAGATTGGGGTTTGTGTGATTGTCAAATTTGTATATAGTAGAATACTTATATACATAGATACTTCATACTTGTATTATAATATTAACACAAGTTGAAATGGTGATTTGTGCATACAAGTATATCTGGATACATAAGTAATCTATCAAATTTAAAAGATTGATTAGGCAATACAAGTATAATTGAATACATTAATACCATATTTTTATAAACAAATACACGAGTTAACACCAAACCTCGAGTTTTATAGAAAAAACTTGACCAAAAAGAAATTGATGTTTGTTGGATTTATCAATTTTTTATACAAGCGAATACTTGCACACTTTGATACCTACACATTCTATTATTTTCCATTTTTCTTGTTTCTTATGTTGTCCAATGTATCCATCTTTTGTTTAACAACAATGTATTCATATATATACTACATTGTATTCATTTTTTTTAATAACAACAATGTATTATTTTTAAATTGTCGTGTTCATATGTTAATTGTCATATTTTACCTTGTTTGATATATTAATACAATACTTGTATTCTTGATATATTAATACTTTAAGTCTTATAAATAGAGATACCAATTTGAATTCAAAGTATTCATATGCTACACAATTAATACATGCTCCTTATTTAGTTCATTGTAATTAAAACTGTATTAGTGTATAAATAGAAAAATAAAAACATTTAAAGAAATACAACTAGAAAAAGATATAAATTGTAGTCATTTTTTATAAATAACATACTTATCGCTATTGAACTTCAATAACCCTATAAATATAGTCATTTTTGTAAGTTGCTCAAAACAAAATTGAAAATTAAGATGGTAATTGGTTATTATCAATTAATGTTATTTGATTGTGTAAAAAAAACTTACATAGTCGGTGGATATTAGTTAAACTCACTGAAAATTAAGATGGTAAATGACTATTACCTATTAATGTTACTCGAGCATATTAAAAAAAAGCTTATATCATTAATGAATATTAGTTAAACTAATTATAAATTATTGAAATTACGTATATCTTGTAATATTTAATTTTGGATTTTATGGACACTCGGATGAATCAAATTTTTTTTAGTTAATTCCTAATGAAATGACATTTACTAAGTTTACGTAATTGTTTTGGCAATGTATGTCACATCTGTTAAATAATTCTACACACGTCGAGATTGAAAGTGAAACAACAATTAATCTACTATATTAAGGCTGAAAAAATGATTTATAAGAGTTAAGAGCAAAGATCTTTTTCACTACTTTTCGTGGATTTATCGATACTCGAGAATTCTTAATCATGTTTTCGATAGATTCTCAACTCAAGTAAATTATATAAAAAGAAAAAATATGCAAACAATAAAAGACTTGTTATGCTCAAAATAATGAAGAAGAGCATAATAGCAATAACAAAATAATATACGATAACTAAAGCAAATTAAATAACAAGTAATACAAAAATTAAAGAATGATACAAAAATAATAATAATGATGATAAAAAGAGAACTAGAGCTCGACCTACTAATAACTACTCCACTTTTATCATAAATCTTCGACCTCCAAATCTTTTTATCTAGTTATGTCCTCGGTAAATCATATTATATCCAACCATCTCTTCCTAATATTTTTTCAACCTACTTCTACCTATATTTATAATCATTATAGTCAACCTCCTCATTGGACATCGATCTATACATCTTCAGTTCACGTGTTTGAACCATCTCAATCACACTTCTCTCATCTTTTCTAAATAGTTTCTTCCTTCGTTCTTATAATCTTACCAAGTAAGAAAAATATATCACATTTTGTAAATAAAGTATAAAAATATTCCAAAGAGTCGCATTAACAAATTACTTTATCTTCATATTTTTTTATAGGGAAAAAGGATAAATATATCCCTGAACTATCGTAAATGGTATGCAAATACCCTCCGTCATACTTTTGGGATATTGGTGCCCCTACCATCCAAAAACTAGAGCATATATACCCTTTATACTAACGGACATACACGTGTCATAATCTTATCCACCGATCCGACATTTATCGACGGATAAGATTATGTCACGTGTCCCTATTTAGTCTTCCGTTAGAGTGAAGGGCATATATGCTCTAGTTTTTGGACGGCAGGGGCACCAATGCCCAAAAGTATGATGGAGGGTATCTGCATATCATTTACAATAGTTCGAGGATATATTTGTCCTTTTTCCCTTTTTTATATAAATATTTGTGATTCTTTATTTTTACAAACTTTTAAATATACATAATTTTAATAACTATTATCGTTCTAATTAAAATAAATAATTCTAGAAGTTCATCCATAGTTTAGGTTAAGAGACAAACAAATTCTAATTATTCATTGCTTGACGTGACAATCTAGAAATTATACTAATCCTTTATTCTTTTCTTTTGGGAGTATATATGCTCCTAACTTTTCTATACAATTATTGTTTGCTAATCCAATTTAATTATTTTTCTTGGTCAAATTAAAAAACAAAAACAAAAACAAAAAGGGATTCCACTACTAAAAGTTTAGGCAGGGAGAATAAATTTTTTTTTCAAATTCTCAAATCATTTCATTTTTACCTAGTCCTTACCCTATTTTATTTTTATTTTTTACTTATCTATTTTAACAAATTAAAAAAAAGTTACTTTTTCTTGTACTAGTTTCAATCAAATTTAGAATTTCAAAAAATTTAATAAAAATATATTTTTAATTAACTTTAAAAAAAAAGGGTGAGTCAGGTCATTTTAGACCAAATAATATTAAACAAAGAAAGTAAATAAATATCAATATGGATTGCGGTGCATGTAGAGTGTTTCATCCTTAATCATAGATTTCAGATTTAAGTTTTGAATACGAAGAAAATTCTATTGAAAACTACACACTTAAATGAGTCTTGCAATACGCAATTCAAATTAGTCAGAATTCTAAAATGAAATTCGGAGAAATTCTACTTGGCAGCCATGGTTTGCTTTAGTCAATGTAAGCATTTTCTAATATGAAATTCGGAGAAATTCTACTTGGCAGCCACAGTTTCATTTATTTTGTATCTTGCTACTTTATCTTCTAATCATGTATCGATTACTCTCTTTTTAATTGAAGGGTCTTTTGAAAACAATATCTTTATCTTACAAAGGTCTTTAATCTATACATGTTTTGCTCTTTCCAAATTCTACTTGTAAGACTATATTCAGTATATTACAATTGTTGTCATTGATATTAATGTCTTTTTTGTTCTTTCCTTCTCGGTGTATGCTCTAATGCTTAACTAATCTTAATTAAATCCTGTAAAATATTCTTTGCTAATGACGATTCGATTTCTAACATTCGAATTATAAAATTTTAATTAAAACTGAAGGAGTACTTACAATTTTAGTGCAATATTTGATTATTCATTTAATGATGAGATATTCTATTATGAAGAGCTTAAATCAATTTGTAAGTGTGGACTTAAGTGATTTTTACATCCTAAATACTTTATTTTATATTTTTGATTATATACATGTTATATAGAATCGTATAATTGATGTATCATAAGATTAATGTAGAATACAATTAAACTGTCTCAACAATATTCTTTCATCTATCTTCAAAAGAGATCATTTTATCTCGTCTAATCTTATATGTCACATACATACATTATAATATCTACATTATACGATAGATCTTAGCAGTCCAACATTCATTATCGTATAATATTACCGATGTTATAATTATTCTATAAATATTGAGGGGTAAAGAGGGAAAAACGGACACATCGAAATAGATAAATCAATCACTATCTGTATATAATGTAAGGAGAGAGACAAAACTTAGTTATTTATTTATTCTTCTTTTTTATTCAAATTCATTTCTTTTCATTTATTTTTTGAAAGTTTACTTTAATTATAGGGAAATTTTTCAAAAGAGCAATATTTTAGCTTTTAGTGGGACTCCTTAGCAACAGTTTCATTATTTATTAAAAATGTCATTATTTTAGTTTGTTAAGGGATTAGTTATGTATTTATTTTATTTTGATTAATTTGAAAGAATACAAATAATTAATAACAGAACAGAGAAAATCATGAAACAAAAAAAATCAAAAGAGGTAAAAAAGATTTTTAATACAAATCAGTTACGTTTTGAAAAGAGCATAAATAGTCATCTTTCCGTCGAGCGTTTTTTTGCTTTCTTCTTAAGAACATAAAAAAAATTAAAATAATTTAGTTTGTCTTCCGAATCATTCATCTGATAACTTTCAAAACTTCTTCAAGTTGAATACGACATATTTTTTAAACAAAATTTTTCAAAATTGACAACTATAAATTTGTCGCATCCAGTGAATAATCGAAAAACAATCAGGTATTTTTTTCGATTTTATTATTTGTTTGGATGAGATATTCGTATATGTCGAGTACAAGAGTGTTGTTTTTTTTTCTGATTGAATCAGTGAAATCTTTGTATGCATTGGGATTTATAGCTTTTTTCGGATGTTTTGTATCCAAATTATGATGTATAACGAATGAAATTGTTTTTTTTTTTAGTTTAGTAGTTGTTTTTTCTATTTGAATACATACAATAATTTGTATCCCATTAAGTTAATGTAACTAATCGATCATGAACTATATGTTGAATACAACAATATATGAATACAAAAATGAGATGAAAATACAAAGTTATAAATACAAAGTGAGATTGAATATAAGGTTGTGAATACAAAAGAAATTAAATACTCTCTTCATTTGAAATACAAAGTGACTTTGAAAGGTAAAGTAGGCATATAAAATACAAAACTTGTTGGTATACAATTAGGTTGAATACAAAACAAAAGAGAAATACAAACTTGTTCACATATAAATTGAGATTGAAATACAGAATGAATACCCAATAAAATACAAAATTGTTAGCATACAGTTAGGATGAATACAAATTAAGAAGGAAATACAAACATGTTGGTATACTAATTGAGATTGAAATACAATGCAACCCTTGGGTAATACACAAATCAAATGAGGGAAATTCCCCAAAATTTTGAATATTATTTGGTATACCTCTAGTAATTCTGATTGAATCAGTCATTGTAGACAATCAAATGTTTTCCCCGTAATTAAAACCCTAAAAGCAAATTTTGATATTATCAAATTTTAAAATGTATTAAATATCAAACAAAACAAACATATATATGAATTTCTAGAATCTACAAAATCTAAAAAATTAAAAGAAAATCACAAAAAAAATTGAAATTAATAAATATATGGTGAATATTTAAACAAAATCACATAAAAATTGGAAAAATTGACTGAAAATCAGTAATGTATAGAATCAGTGGTTTAAACATCAAATAAAAAAAAATCAAAATTGATAATGGAAATTACCTTGCCAACCGAGAAATCTGCTTGAATTAATAAAGATAATTCGTTTAACAATAAAGAAAATTTCTTGATGAACAACAATTTAGCACTTTGAAGAAAGATAAACTTGAAACGTGAAAGGTGGGGAAGAAATGTGAAAGTTGGGGAAAGAAACGTGAATGGTGATGATAAAAGGTTAATGGTATTGGTTTAATTTATTTTTTTCACTTCAAACGGTTATTGATATATAATTTGGTCTAATATAGGACTCTTTTCATAAATAAAATTAATTTAAAATACTAAAATCTGAATACATATTATTTTATAAAAATATTATCATTCTGCCATTTTAAATAAATATTTTAAAGTGTTGATATTTTGACTAATTATGTTATGTATTATGACTTAATTGCTAATTTTCAATGAATTATATTTACCATGAAATCTGTAGTTTTTGGTATAAAAGCACCAATCTTCTCATAATTCCAAAATCCATACAGAGCTGAAAATTTTTCAAAAAATTTGTGTGAAATTCTAGAATCATCTTCTCTGTGATTACTAGAAGAAGAAAAATGGCGGATCAGCTTACTGATGACCAGATCTTTGAGTTAACAGAGGCTTTCAGCTTGTTGGACAAGTACGGAGATGGTTTGGCTCCTTTTTTTTCTCTGTAAATGTGTATATGTTTTGTGTTTTTGATGCTTATAGGTGTATGTGGAATCTGTTTTGTTGCAGATCTGACGTTTGATTTGAAATTTTGAATGAACTAGTTGATTTTTTTGGTGACAGGTTGATATATGAGAATATTCAGTTAGTAAATAGAGGAAAAAATAGATTTTCTAGCTTGTTGAAACGTTAAAAATGAATTAGAGAATATGGAAGCTATGTAGTTTGATGTTACGTTGGTGAATTACTGTTTTTTCGGTATCATGAGATCTCATGTTGAAAAACAAGTGATTTTTTTTCGTTTTTGATGAATAGAGTTACTTGATATCTGCATACAAGATTTGGCCGGTTAGTTGAGTTGAGAACCATGAAGTCTCGTATTAAGAAGGTGCTTGGTTGATAGAGTTACCTGAAGTGGTTGAGAGAACCGTGAGGCCTTAGGTTCAAATCACAACAGAGACAAAAATACAATTGATTTCCTTCCATCTGTCTTAACCTCGGTGGATAGAATTACTTGGTACTTGTTGCTGGTGGTGGTGGGAGTTGAGAGGTATTTTATGGAATTAGTCTAGGTGTGTGTAAGTTGGCTTGGATATCACGGTTATAAAAAAAAAAGGAGTTAGGTACACGTGTTGGTGGGAGGTAGCGGAATTAGTGGGACTTGTGTGTATCGGAGGCCGTGGAATTAGTAGAGGTGCGTGCAAGCTGAACCAGACCGCGATAATGAAAGAACTTAAAAGAAGAAATTAAGAGCTATTTCAGAGAAGCTGTGTTGTAAATTGGATTATAGATGGATTGAGAAGTGATAATTTAATTTGATGAAAAATTTGGCCTTTATTACTGGCTTCAGTTTGTGTTAAATGCTAAACCAAAATCCTCCCTTTTTTCTAAATCTGTAGTAGCTTTTGTCTGAACTCATTGATTGGGACGAACAACTAGATGAATGAGTTTTGTCATTAGTTATTAGGGAAGTGTTAAAAGATATTTATTAAATGTTGATAACAGTGTTAGAAATGTTGTTATGTGTTGAAAATTTGGTGATTTTTTTTTTTTGTTCCTTATTTTCTGGGACATGAGTTGAAAAGTGGTGTATTTTGTTGTGAACCAAGCTGACTCGGTAAGGGCCTATGGGCTATTAAATACTTTTAATTGGGGATCCAGGCCCAATTAGTATCTCTATTAAAAAGGACTAGAAGTTAGAAGAAGGGGCAGGCAAATTATGTGAAGCGTTGGCTTTCAGATCCTCTCATCTCCCTTCTATGGTCTAGTATCTCATCCCCTTCTAGTTACCTTCTTCTATGTTAAGCTACCCGTAATTAGTGTGTTATTACTTTGTTGTGTGTATTATCCGTTGTAATTTGTATTCAGAGATAACTTTAAATATCAGTGTTTGTATTGGAAATCGGGTTTGTTACATATTTTCTGTTTTCTTCTGTGGACAGTAGCTTACTGATGTTAAGTGTGGTTTGTTAGTTTTGGTGCAGTAAGCTAATGGTGAAGCTTTTGTATAGGTTGCATCGCGACCAAGGAGTTTGAGATTGTGATAAGGTCGTTGGGACATAACCCTACTGAAGCTGAGCTCCAGGACATGATAAACGAGCTGGATGCAGATGGTAATGGAACCATCGACTTCCCAGAGTTTCTAAACCTCATGGCCAGGAAGATGAAGGATACTGGCTGGGAGGCGGAGTTGAAAGAGGCATTCAGAGTTTTCGACAAGGATCAAAATGGCTTCATCTCCGCTGCTGAGCTTCGTCATATTCTGACTAACTTTCGAGAGGTGTTCACTGATGAAGAAGTCGATGAGATGATTAGGGATGCAGATGTTGATGGTGATGGACAAATCAGCTACGAGGAGTTTGTTAAGCTCCTGATGGACAATTAATTCCCACCATCCTCTTGTTATATTTAAAGTTTAGACTTGTTAAAAATGTGAAAAAAGCCAAAAATAATTCATTGGACATGACAATGTTTTTTCTTTTCTTTTCGAGAAGTTACACATTTAGCCGATTAGTCAAAATTATATTCATATTCACTAACTAGGGAAAAATGACAAATATACCTCCAAACTATCGTAAATGGTATGTAGATACCCTCCGTCATACTTTTGGGACATTGGTGTCCCTGTCGTCCAAAAACTAGAGCACCCTTTCTACTAACCGACATATACATGTCATAATTTTATCCATCGATCCGGCATTTATTAAATATCGGATGAACGGATAAGATTGTGTCACGTGTCCCTATTTAGTCTTCTGTTAGAGTGAAGGGCATATATGCTCTAGTTTTTAGACGACAGGGGCACCAATGTCCCAAAAGTACGACGAAGGGTGTCTACATACTATTTACGATAGTTCGGGGGTATATTTATCCTTTTTTCCTGCTAACTAATGTATATATATATAGTTATGTGTATTTTATACAACTCTAGCTATTTTTTGGGGAGGGTGGCTATTTATAGGGATAGATATACCTAATAGTTTTTGTTATATCAAACGTTACCCTTGCTTATTAGTAATCGAGTGATTATGAGGTAACCATTTTTTCTTAAATAATTTAGAAAGTTAAATCTAAACCACATAAATACTCGGCAAAAAAAAAAATTTGAAAATTAAGATGGTAATTGGTTATTATCAATTAATGCTATTTGATTGTGTAAAAAAACCTTACACAGTCGGTGGATATTAGTTAAACTCACTGAAAATTAAGATGGTAAATGACTATTACCTATTAATGTTACTCGAGCATATTAAAAAAAAACTTATGTCATTAATGAATATTAATTAAACTAATTATAAATTATTGAAATTACGTATATCTTGTAATATTTAATTTTGGATTTTATGGACACTTGGATGAATCAGATTTTTTTTTAGTTAATTCCTAATGAAATGACATTTACTAAGTTTACGTGATTGTTTTGGCAATGTATGTCACATCTGTTAAATAATTCTATACACGTTCGAGATTGAAAGTGAAATAACAATTAATCTACTATATTAAGGCTGAAAAAATGATTTATAAGAGTTAAGACCAAATAACTTTTTCACTACCTTTTGTGGATTTATCGATACTCGAGAATTCTTAATAATGTTTTCGATAAATTCTCAACTCAAGTAAATTATATCAAAAAAAAAAATACAAACAATAAAAGATTTGTCATGCTCAAAATAATGAAGAAGAGCATATAGCAATAACAAAATAATATACGATAACTAAAGCAAATTAAATAACAAGTAATACAAAAATTAAAGAATGATACAAAAATAATAATAATGATGATGAAAAGAGAATTAGCGCTCGACCTACTAATAACTACTCCACTTTTATTATAAATCTTCGACCTCCAAATCTTCTTATCTACTTATTTCCTCTGTAAGTCATATTATATCCAACCATCTCTTCCTAATATTTTTTCCACCTACTTCTACCTATATTTATAATCATTATAGTCAACATCCTCATTGGACATCGATCTATACATTTTCAGTTCGCATGTTTGAACCATCACAATCCCCCTTCTCCCATCTTTTCTAAATAGTTTCTTCCTTCGTTCTTATAATCTTACCAAGTAAAAAAAAAATATCACATTTTTTAAATAAAGTATAAAAATATTCCAAAGAGTCACATTAACAAATTACTTATCTTCATATTTTTTTATATAAATATTTGTGATTCTTTATTTTTACAAACTTTTAAATATACATAATTTTAATAACTATTATCGTTCTAATTAAAAAAAATAATGCTAGAAGTTCATCCATAGTTTAGGTTAAGAGACAAACAAATTCTAATTATTCATTGCTTGACGTGACAATCTAGAAATTATACTAATCCTTGATTCTTTTCTTTTGGGAGTATATATGCTCCTAACTTTTCTATACAATTATTGTTTGCTAATCCAATTTAATTATTTTTCTTGGTCAAATTAAAAAACAAAAACATAAAGGGATTCCACTACTAAAAGTTTAGGCAGGGAGAATAATTTTTTTTTTTTCAAATTCTCCTTTCATTTCATTTTTACCTAGTCCTTACACTATTTTTTTTATTTTTTACTTATCTATTTTAACAAATTAAAAAAAAAAGTTACTTTTTCTTGTACTAGTTTCAATCAAATTTAGAATTTCAAAAAAATTTAATAAAAATATATTTTTAATTAACTTTTTTAAAAGGGTGTGTCAGGTCATTTTAGACCAAATAATATGAAACAAAGAAAGTAAATAAATATCAATATGGATTGCGGTGCATGTAGAGTGCTTCATCCTTAATCATAGATTTCGGATTTAAGTTTTGAATACGAAGAAAATTCTATTGAAAGCGACACACTTAAATAGGCCTTGCAATATGCGATTCAAATTAGTCAGAACTCTAATATGAAGTTCAGAGAAATCCTACGTGGCAGCCACTGTTTGCTTTTAAGTCAATGTAAGCATTCCGCGTATGGAACGCGTAACCGCGTACTCACCTAATGGAAGAGAGAGAAAAATGGGCCCTTTTTATTCTTTTGTTTTTTTTTTAAAAAAAAAGTAATCTAAAAAAAGATAAAAATTGACAAGTCATTTTCTATGGAAAAAATATGAAAAGATATAAAACAAACGTGGCATGTAATGAGTGGTTTCATAGATGATATATGGACCTCATGGTTGCATTATTTTGTTTTCTTTATGTTTTGACTTGCTTCTTAAGTTACTATTTTACCCCTTTCATATTACTCAATAAGTTTTTCTTAGTAGTATTATTTAATTATCCCATAGTTTTTTATTCTTTAATGAGTATTTTTACTTGGTTCCATTTATTTTGTATCTTGCTACTTTATCTTCCAATCATGTGTCGATTACTCTCTTTTTGAATGAAAGGTCTTTTAAAAACAATATTTTTATCTTACAAGAGTCTTTAATTTATACATGTTTTGCTCTTCCCAAATTCTACTAATTGTAAGACTATATTCAGTGTATTACAATTGGTGTCGTTGATACTAATGTCTTTTTTGTTCTTTCCTTTTCGGTGTATGCTTTGATGCCTAACTAATCTTGATTAAATCCTGTAAAATATTCTTTGCTAATGACGATTCGATTTCTAACATTCGAATTATAAAATTTAAATTAAAACTGAAGGAGTACTTACAATTTTAGTGCAATATTTGATTATTCATTTAATGATAGAGGAGCTTAAATCAATTTGTACGTGTGGACTTAAGTGACTTTTACATCCTAAATACTTTATTTTATATTTTTGATTATATACATGTTATATAGAATTGTATAATTGATATATCATAAGATTAATGTAGAATACAATTAATCTGTCTCAACAATATTCTTTCATCTATCTTCAAAAGAGATCATTTTATCTCGTCTAATCTTATATGTCGCATATATACATTATAATATCTACATTATACGATAGATCTTAGCGGTCCAACATTCATTATCGTATAATATTACCGATGTTATAATTATTCTATAAATATTGAGGGGTAAAGAGGGAAAAAGGGACAATCGAAATACATAAATCAATCACTATCCGTGTATAATGTAAGGAGAGAGGCAAAACTTTACTATTTTTGTTTTTTATTCTTCTTTTTTTATTCAAATTCATTTCTTTTCATTTATTTTTTGAAAAGTTACTTTAATTATATGTACCATGAAATCTGTAGTTTTTGGTATAAAAGCACCAATCTTCTCATAATTCCAAAATCCATACAGAGCTGAAAATTTTTCAAAAAATTTGTGTGAAATTCTAGAATCATCTTCTCTGTGATTACTAGAAGAAGAAAAATGGCGGATCAGCTTACTGATGACCAGATCTCTGAGTTCAAAGAGGCTTTCAGCTTGTTCGACAAGGACGGAGATGGTTTGGCGCCTTTTTTTTCTCTGTAAATGTGTATATGTTTTGTGTTTTTGATGCTTATAGGTGTATGTGGAATCTGTTTTGTTGCAGATCTGACGTTTGATTTGAAATTTTGAATGAACTAGTTGATTTTTTCGGTGACAGGTTGATATATGAGAATATTCAGTTAGTAAATAGAGGAAAAAATAGATTTTCTAGCTTGTTGAAACGTTAAAAATGAATTAGAGAATATGGAAGCTATGTAGTTTGAGGTTACGTTGGTGAATTACTGTTTTTTCGGTATCATGAGATCTCATGTTGAAAAACAAGTGATTTTTTTTCGTTTTTGGTGAATAGAGTTACTTGATATCTGCATACAAGATTTGGCCGGTTAGTTGAGTTGAGAACCATGAAGTCTCGTATTAAGAAGGTGCTTGGGCGATAGAGTTACCTGAAGTGGTTGAGAGAACCGTGAGCCTTAGGTTCAAATCACAACAGAGACAAAAATACAATTGATTTCCTTCCATCTGTCTTAACCTTGGTGGATAGGATTACTTGGTACTTGTTGCTGGTGGTGGTGGGAGTTGAGAGGTATTTTATGGAATTAGTCTAGTGTGTGTAAGTTGGCTTGGATATCATGGTTATAAAAAAAAAATGGAGTTACCCCGTACGCGTGTTGGTGGGAGGTAGTGGAATTAGTGGGACTTGTGTGTGTCGGAGGCCGTGGAATTAGTAAAGGTGCGTGCAAGCTGAACCAGACCACGATAATGAAAGAACTTAAAAAAGAAGAAATTAAGAGCTATTTCAGAGAAGCTGTATTGTAAATTGGATTATACATGGATTGAGAAGTGATAATATAATTTGATGAAAAATTTGGCCTTTATTACTGGCTTCAGTTTGTGTTAAATGCTAACCAAAATGTTTGAACTCATTGATTGGGACGAACAATTAGATGAATGATTTTTGTCATTAGTTATTAGGGAAGTGTTAAAGATATTTATTAAATGTTGATAACAGTGTTAGAAATGTTGGTATGTGTTGAAAATTTGGTGATTTTTTTTTTGTGTTCCTTATTTTCTGGGACATGAGTTGAAAAGTGGTGTATTTTCTGTTTTCTTCTGTGGACAGTAGCTTACTGATGGTAAGTGTGGT